GAGCTTACTGTTCCTTGTCTCCGTGGATAGCGAGTGCGGGCCAACCATCTTGACGGAGATACTTGGTGATGTCGTCCGCTACCCTCTTGGTGGCAACGAAGATAAGGACCTTTGCGTTCTCAGCGCTGATCTGGTCAAGATGCTTGATGAGTTTCGCCCGCTTCTCAAAATCGCTGCAAACTTCGATGATCTGTTGAATGTTGTGATTGGCCTGGAGATCCATAGATCCGATGTTGACTTGGATCATATCGGACAGGAAATCCTAGAAGGAAAGGAGCATGTCAGGACGTCGAGAGCGTTAACAAAGGGAGGCAACGTACGTTAGCAAGCTTCTGGACGTCTTTGGGCCAGGTGGCGCTAAACATGAGCGTTTGACGATCCGGGCGAATCTGGCTAACAATTTTGCGGATTTGGGGCTCGAAACCCATGTCCAGCATGCGGTCGGCTTCGTCCATAACGAGGTAGGTGACACGGCGGAGGTTGGTCTTTTGGGTTTCCAGCATGTCGATGAGACGCCCTGGCGTGGCGATGACGATCTCGACGCCGCGCTGCAGGTCGCGGATCTGCGGGCCTTTGGGGGCACCACCGTAGATAGCAGTGTTGCGGATGCGGGAGTTTGAGCTGCAAATAGGAGGTTAGACATGGCGAGTCAAAGATGGAAAAGGAGGCTGCGAACCCGAATTTTGTGCACTCTTGTTGAATTTGCACAGCAAGTTCACGAGTGGGTGCGAGGACTAGGGCGATGGGGCCGTCGCCGGGTGCGAGGAGAGGTTGCCTAGAAGGGAAAGTCAGATTAGTCATCAAATTTGAAACGCGGGCCAACGCACGCATTGATGTGAAGCATGGCGGGGAGAGCGAAAGAGATGGTTTTTCCACTTCCAGTCTGTGCGATAGCGACGACATCGCGACCGCTGAGGGCCATGGGCCACGCCTGGCACTGGATGGGTGTCGGTGCGTCGAAGCCTTGGGCACGAATGGAGGTCATCAGGTATTCGGGGAAGCCGCACTCGTCAAAGGACATGATAGGTCTGGGGACGCCTCGTCCTTGAATCTGTGAATACATTAATTTCTGCTATTAACCAAAATACAAGGTACACACCTTGATCTCTTTGCTGCGCTTGAACTCGTCAATCTCGGACTGGGAGCGGTTGGAAACCCGCTTGTCCTCGACGTAAAAGTTCTTTTCAAAGCGCTCGAGCTTCGTGCTTGCCCAGTCGACCTGACGAAGTCCACCGCCCAAGTTGGACATCTTGTCTTCGCCCCATCCACCTCCTCCTCCTCCACCGCCACCATAACCACCATAACCGCCACCGCCGCCGCCGTATCCGCCGTAACTCTGAAATACAGTTAGTAATCATCTACTGCGCCAGTGGGAAGTCTTACCATTTTATGTATATGTATATGTAAAGAAAGGGTGGGGCGTGATGAGTGCAAGGAACCAAGTTGGGAGAAAAGAAAATTTCGCCAAACAAAGCCTTCCTGCCCCTGCCTAGCATGCGCAAACAATGCACCGCCACACATGATCATTGCACCCCGGATTTATTTACATGATGGTCTGAAAGCGCCCGTCTATAGAGGATTACATGAGGCTAGATAGAGAGGGTATATGATATGTCTGGGTAAATAACAGCAATGTCCGTGTGTGTAGAAAAATCATCGTGAAAGCAAAGAAAGCGAAAGCCTGATCGGCGGGGCCGAGTGCAGTCAGAACATATGAGTCAGGGTGAGGCAGACATAGGATGGCGGTGTGGGGGCTACATGATTGTACAGAATGATGATCTCTTCCGTCGTGGTTTGTTGGTTTTCGGGTACTTTTCGCGCATCTGCCTCACGAGGTCCTCGAAGACATCAAGTATGTGCCAGTTCTTCTTTGAAGACGTCTCGTAGAATGGAAGATTCCAGCGGGTAGCGAGCGTAGAGATTGTAGTGCGTTGTACCTCGCGCTCACTCACGAGGTCGAGTTTTGTGCCAACGACGACGATTGGTATCTGCAGCTCTCAACAATGAGGGAAGGGCCATGAGACAGGTTCAACACTCACGCCATCGCCGCCTTTGATTCGATATATCTGTTTCCGTAGGTTGTCTACTTCCTTCAAGCTCGCTTCGTTTGTTAGACTGAGGAAAACATGAGTGTCCGTGTGCGCGATACGTTCAGGTGCACTTGCCTGAATACAAGAACGAAACCACGCCCTGACTATATATACTGGTTAGAGAGAGACGCTCGACAGTAACGAGTGCGCCCACCTTGATGTAAACCTCATTGAGTGACGTGAATTGTTCGGCTCCTGCGGTATCCAGGACCTCCAGCTGTCACGGAACGTGTCAGACAGCGGGTTCTCGGGCTATCTTGCCAAGAAGGGATGCAACTCACTGACGACTGCTGCCCATCCACGACCACCATCCGCCGGTACTCCTCTACCATTTATGCATGTTAAGCTCCGGTGGAAGATCGACGCAGAGGCGACGCACCCTCTATTGTGGGGTCATAGTTCTCGACGAATATGTCCCTGATAAAGCGTACTGCGCCGGTGTTAATCAACATTAAAGCCTCTCATGAGTTCGAGATGGCGTGCGTACCTGTGAGCGCTGACTTTCCGACGCCACCAGCTGCAAGGGTAATTGAATCGAACGTCAGCGAAATACCAACGAGATATTGGCGCTGTATACTGACCACCGAGGACGACTATGTTGAACAGCTTCATGATGAATGCGGGGAGAGAGGAGGAAACAGGATTGCTGTCCGCCGTGAGAGTTAACTGACGCGACTGAGCGTGACAGTGCAACAATTATAATAGCCGACATATACGGCCACATCAAAACTTGACCATCACCCATGGTTCGTCCCAGGACTTTTTTCGACTTTACAGTCGATAATGAGCCTATTGGAAGGTGTGTAGTCTCGTGTGTGCCGTGCTCGTTTCTTATTACGCATTACAGGGTGATTTTTGAACTTTACAACGACACGGCGCCCAAAACCGCGGAAAAGTTCGATCATATCTCGTTACAGATTTGCTCCTGGTCTGATTAGCTGCTTTCCAGCTTCCGGGTACTATGTACAGGCGAACGAGGCGTCTCTGCGACCAGCCAACACCCATTATACTACAAAAACTGCACCATTCATCGGTCAATCCAGGATTTCATGATCCAAGGCGGTGGTGCGTTCGACCCCGCCAATACCACGTATTCCAACATTAATTCTTCAGCTCAGACTTTACCAAGTTCAATGGCTCAGGAGGGGAATCTATCTACGGCGGCGCGTTTGCGGACGAGGACCTAGAACGGCCGCTAGACGCCGAGGCGCTCTTGTGCATGGCGAATAAGGGCCCGAATACTAATAACTCGCAGTTCTTCGTCACGCTCCGCGAGTGCCCGCATTTGAATGGTGTGCCTTCTTGTGTTCTGAATTCTTAGCTATGTACTTGCTGACCTTTGAACGATAGGTAAACACGTTGTGTTCGGCCGCGTCATTCGCGGGTTCGAGGTGGTGCAGAAAATTGCAACGCTGCCTGTGGATGAGAAGAGCCGCCCGTTCACACCCGTCGTTATCTCCAACTGTGGAGAGCTCGAGTTACGCAAGCCTCCAGGTTCGTTTTCTCCCTTCTTTTTATTATTTCTCGTCAAATTTACATTATCCCCCTCGTTTCTAGCCAAACCCACGAAAGATGAACAGCCCACATCAGAGAAGAAACGCTCTAGCCGACGTAGCCGCTCGGACTCACCCTCACGCTCAAGATCCCGTTCCCGCTCCCGCTCTGACTCGCGTAGTCCCGGCCCCGAACGCCGGCGCCACCGCAAGAAGAAAAAGTCCAAGCGCAAGCACTCGCATTCCCCCTCTCCCTCACGCTTGCCCTCACCGAAAGTTCCCGGCGCGCCAAAGGAGGAGACGGAGGAGGAGTATGACGTGAGGCTTGAGCGCGAGGAGAAGGAGAGGATAGAGGAGGCGAGGAAGAAGGAGCTGCTGAGGATTAAGGAGAAGTATGAGAGGGATATGGTGGAGAGGACGGGGGGTGTGAGGTTTAAGGGTGCGTTTTTTTAATTTTTAATTTGGGATTGCGTTCGAGATGCTGATGGGTTTACTGTTTGTAGGAAGGGGAAGGATGAAGTACGTCGATCCGGAGTTGCAGAGACATCAAGACTTTCGGTGACGATGTACCCATTTGCTATCGCTTTAGCTACTTCCAAGTTCTGACTTTGTAGATTTGGATTTTCTTTGTCCAATATTTTGACCTTGCGTGCTGAGATATCAGGTATATTGGAAACCATGATGATAGCCCTCGATCTCTCTGAGCTCAAGTTCAGCAGACCCGATTGATTTCAGCGTTGAAATGTAGATAAAATAAAAGAAGGAAAACTGCAGAATATGTAGAAAGTCATGTGAGTTATTAAACCCACACAAACCAGGAGCTTGAGATCTACTTCCAGGCACTCATTGACTACTATCAGGATTCAGGACTGACTGGATTGGCTGCCATTTGTAAAATTTGCTTACAATAATCATGTCAACTCCTCCATTGGCATGTCACCCTTCTATGACAAGTACACCTATAATTTAACATTCTCCATTGACCCCAGGAACTTGCAGTCCATTCCCGAAGTTGATGTTTGCCTTCACCACATTTGCAAGATTCAGGAAGATCTGAAATTGTTGTTGGAGTTGGCAGCAAAGACGATGAAGCTGATTTATGAGTGGATGAGGCACCAGATTTCACTGCTAGAGATCAAGTTTATCTTGAATGTGGGGATCTGTGCTCCTCAAGGCCCAATAACTATATGACCTTTCTAGTGAGCTTCCTTATTGTCAGCTCTATTTAGTGAGTATTTGGATTGAATTTGGTAAAAGAGAAGATTGTCATTAACAATAACCAGCACCTCAAGAAGATTTAAATCTCGGTGGTCGGCTTGTTAATTGAATGCAACTGTTTGAACTAGTACAAGGATTTGTCGATGGAGAGTAGTTTTGGTGGGGCAACTTGGAAAAAGTGGAAAAGTCAACTTTCAGTTGCCCTCTGAGAGACTCGAACTCTCGACCTCAGGATTAATGGTAGACAAACTACCTCATAATTGCATATGAGACCTGCGCTCTAACCAACTGAGCCAAGAAGGCTTGTTTTATGACTATAATAGGTTTTGGCAGGTGACACGTTGATTTTGCCCGGCAAGTTCCGTTCTGCAATCGGTGACCTGACAAATTGCACTTGGGGAATTTCAAGGATCACAAATGCGTACGGTCACCTTGAATTTGAGTTTTTGTTCATTCTACTGACTTTATCCTGTGCAGCTCCGAAGAAAGCCAAGAAAATCTCCCTGAACGAGTTTCTCGGGGACAATGGTGAGTGTTTTTTGATCGTGCGGCGTGCCCATTGCCTTCTGTCTGACCTTTTTTGCCCTAATTAGCGTTGGGATCATGGGCGGACGAAATGGATTTGCTCCCCAATGCTCGTACGTGGCAAAGATTTGCATTTGGTTCTTCCACTTATACCAAGCAATAGCCGCTGCTCGCAACGACGATGATCAAGGAGCACGTCCTGGGGGTTACGGCCGACGTGACGATTTTCCGTCCACTCGACGTGAGCTTCTTCTCTCGTCTCATAGTCGATTTTCTGACACGTTTATAGTCGATAGAGCCGGCCCGCCCAGGGAAGATATCCCCTTGCCCACACGACCTCCCTACACTGCTTTCATTGGCAATCTCGCCTTCGATCTTAAGGAATCGGAATTAGAGGAATTCTTTGCTCCGACCAAGGTTTGTTCATTGCTATAACCTCTTTTTTTGATCTACTTCTGAATCTGGAGGCAGACAAAGTCTGTGAAAATTATCAAGGATCGTGAAGAGAAGCCCAAGGGCTTCGGTTACATAGAGTTTGAGGAGCTCGACGGATTGAAAGATGCACTGCAAAAAAGTGGCTCGGTGAGTTTCTACCCTGACGATATCTCATTGGGAAGCTGATCCACCCCGTAGAATTTCTCTGGCAGAACCATCCGAGTCAGCGTCGCTGAACCTCGTGAGTATTCGACTTGAAGTATAGCTCCAGATCCCTTATCTTTCACAGCTAAGGAACGCAGCGCATTCGGCGGAAGTGGTGGCGGCGGCTTCGAGGACGATTCCAAGTTTGAAGGCCCTTGGCGACGTGACGGACCTCTCCCCGACCAATCTCGTGATTTTCCTCGTCGTCGCTTCGACGGCCCCCCTCCTGATCGCGAGCGTCTGCCCAGCGTGGCGGAGGGTGCCTGGCGCTCTACCCGTGTTTCTGGCCCTGATGAGCTGCCGCCTCCCCGTCGCAGATCCGGCTTTTCCACACCAGACGGACAGCCTAGCCCCGCTGATCAAGCTGATTGGGCCAGAGGCAGCAAATTCGTGCCTGCAGCCGCCCCCTCCGAAGAAAGGTACGGAAGCATTCGTGGACCCAGGAGTGACATGGGCCCTCCCAAGGAATTTTCTGCGGATGAGGGCAGCTGGAGAAGGTCGAAATCGAGCATCTCACGCAAGTTTTATTATTCTTCGACATGCAACGCTTTCTGACGTTCCTTCAGCCGCCAGCTCCACGCCACCCACTCCTCAACTGAACAGGAGAAAACTTGAGCTCCTCCCTAGGTCTGGCACGCCCTCGGCGGCCCAGAGCCCGCTCTCCTCGCCCAAAATGTCCGCCACGCCTGCTGTTGCTCCTTCGAGCGCACGCGCCAGCCCGTTCGGTGCTGCACGACCAGTTGACGTCACCGGCAAAGAACAAGAGGTCACTGAGCGCCTGGAAAAAGAGCGGGATTTCACCAAGGAACGCATCACTATGTCCCGCACTAACTCCCGCCAGGCTTCTGAGCGGGCTCCTCTCACCGGCACCGGCACGCCCCCCACGAGCGCGGGTGTTAGCGCTGCTGGCAGCTCGATTGCTTCGGCATCCCCTAAAATTGCGCCCAAGTCGCTGGCCCCTAGCGTAAGGCCTACGCTGAGCTTTGCGAATGCCGCCGCGGCGAAGAAGGAAGCTGCCGCCAAGGAGGAAAGGAGCGATGAGGTAGAGCAGGTTACTGAAAAGGTTGCGGAGGTTGAGGTTTAGCCATGTTCTTTTTGGACTGGATTGTCTGTGCTGTCTTCTTGGAATTTAACCACCTTTTTGCAGTTTCATAAGTGTGACCTAGCGATGTGAGTGATCGGTGGCTGTCGCGCTTCGGCGTCCCGTGAAGTAATAAACTGGATCGTTGCGTGGGGCAAGCATCGGCTGCGATACACCTCACATATTCGTGTCGCAAGGTGGTCTCCGGGCACCGTTCGAGGGTATACTCGGAAAAGTCACTTATGTGATTTAAATCTCAACAGGACATAGGATCATTGGCTTGCACCAAAAATAATCCACGACACGTAAAACTTCAAAGAGGTGTCAATCAAAAGGACCATTGCACTACAGTTCCGATGAGGGCTGACTCTACTTTTTTTTATGTACTAGTCAGATTGCAAGTACGCCCAGTCATTCCACTCATTCGTTCCAGGGTTGCCCATTCGCCATGGGATCCAGTCTATCGCAGCTCCAACGTGGTGCATTTTCAGTAATCGTTAACGTACTACGCTGGAGCGTACTTCAAGAGAAACCCGCAGTCGCCCCCGTGCCTGTAAGTCATCTGTTGTTTCTTCACGCTTGCAGACTGAGCAGAAGCCACAGTTTGTGGCCAGCCCCGAGCTTTTCGAGTTTGTACTCGAGATATGGCTCGATCGTCCATGTCACGACATCACCAACGTGCTTAGTTTCGCCTCAATTTCGCTCCCACCTGCAGAGAAGATTATTTTCTCATGTCGTGATTAGTTCTCATGGAACGTGCCATCGATATTTCACTATTCTGAATCAAAACAGCGACCTCCGAAGAACGAGGGATCTTTCACTGTCTAACCGACTGTTCATCGCTGTCGCCGGAATTACCGTACATCCTCAATACACTAGTCACCAGTGAAACCTTAAAATCTGTTCACTTCTTGTGTCTCGGATTTCGACCATACACTTGGTAGTGGAGCAGCTGCCGCGTCGTTTGGTCCTCGTTTTGGGCCGTCTCGCAGACTTTCTCTCCCTCGTTCTTTGTTCTGGAAATCCTGTCAAGACTCATGCATCTTGATTCTCTTGGGCTTGGTGGAGGAAATGAGGCTGTGAGGATGTTGAAATTTGTCCGAGGATCGTCTTGTGTGCTTTAGACCCCAACCATCTCAGGAAATTGATCTGTGATGCGAAGAACATTTCCTCCCCCGCTGGCCGCGAGGTAATTAAAGAGTCTGGCCCCTTCCTAGAGAGGATCTCCATACTTAATCCTGATCGACAACTATTTCCAGGTAGGTTGTGTACTATCGTCCCGTTTCGTCCTTGGGCGAGTCCTAGATTCAGCCCTAAATTTGTCTGATCTCCCAGGGCCACGAATCGACAAGTTCTTGATTTGTTAACGCAAGCTTGACGGAGTCAGACAAGTCTTTTATATCACGCCGTTTCAGGTATATCGGGAGAGCCCAATCAAGAAGGTTTCGGCAGAGCTGTGCGAGGGCATACACCTCCTCGTAGTCGAAGATGTCATCGTTGAAATTCCCGAGTGCCGAAGCCTTAATAACATTGGCGCCATCCACTTGCTCGGAATTGCGAACTAGCGTAGATAAGATATCCAATACCATCTATGTCTACGCTTTCGATGTTGTGGCACTTTTTGTGGATGGCATGAAGGAGTGGGTATAGCACCTCAACCTCCACTTGGTCCAGGTCTTCGCCGTTGTCCTAGAACTTAACGTAGCGGAGGCCGGGGAAGATTCGAAGCAGGACGGGAAAGAAGGTGGGTGCGTTCTCGCGGCTGACATGGTTCGCTATGCCAATGACCTCGAGAAGTGAGATGTAGTCTAAAGGCGTCCCAAATCCGAGCCCGTTAAGCAAAGTCGAGTTCGTGTTGGCCCTCGAAAAGTTGGTAGCAGTGAGGGATACTCCTACGAACCAAAGTATCAGTTATTTGCGATCGTAACCTCGGGGATCCACAATTCATGAACCCTCCGCCGAGACAATTTCCGACATGCAGCCGTCGACTGGAAAGCCTGGGATGGTGAGTGTGTGTGAGGAGTGCATGGGAGAGTCTGGGGACATGGCGTAGGTGGCCGGGGAGCGGATTCGGAGCGTGGGGCTGGCTACTGCAGCGCGGGGTGAAGGTGAGACAGATTCAGAGCCGTCTTCAGGATATTCAGGACGTTGAACGTGTCCGAGTCGTTCATGTCATTGCGACATACTTGATTTTAGCAATCTAAACGGCCGATCCCCAGAAAGTCTGTCCCGTAACGTAGAAACTATATATAAAAAAAGAGCCACAAAAACGCGTGAGAGCGGCATGGCCAGCATCATGGTGGGTGGGTTGGGATCAAATCCTTAGAAACCAAACATCTAAACTCGGCCCACGTTCTTCCTTACAGCTTTCCCGCAAACATACACACAGTTCAAATCACGCATTTAAAGTTACAACCTGGTTTCATCAAATTTTCAAGCATATTCATCTTTGCCCTTCAGCGCCGTCCGAATTTCTGCCTCCAGTGGGAAAACCTGCTCATCAGGCGTGATAGAGTAGTACAGCCTCTTCCACGTCGACTCGAGTTCTTTGGGAGTGGACCACGCTAGCTCTTCATTCCGGAGCCAGAGTCGAAGTAGGTGGCGCCTAGAGTGACAATGATATCAACAAAAGGTGCTCAGACGCAAAAAAGAAAAAGAGAAGAGAGATAATCTTACGTCTTCTCTGGAGTATCGACGAAACCGTCTCTTGCGTGGAACACCGCCAAATTGTTGATGTACTGAATGTCGCCCTTCTGGAAGTTTAGACCGACATTGTACTTCTCGCCCAGATAGTGTATGGCGTCGAGTGCCTCTGCCTGTGCCTCGGTGATTGGAGGGATGTCCTCCGATCGTGGCAACGCGTGGAATCCGGTGAAGCTCCGGCGTGCGTACTGGATGATGATCTTGGAGTCGTGATAGTATAGGAGAGGACGGGAGCTGTACGCGGGGCTTCCACCGAACCTAATAGGAGGGGGATAGCAATCAAAGAAGAAGAAAAGAAAACGTGAGAAGGATTTAATTGAATTTGAAGGCGTGAATGCCAACAAAAGTGAATAAT